AATTAACCTAGCAATAAATAGTGACAACTCTGAACGGCTCCAACCACGATCTAAAAAAAAAAGAAATGTTACTTAAAGCGAAAAAAAAAATCTTAAAACGATCGAAAAAAATACTTATCGAAAAATAAGCCAAAATCTATAAAAGAAAGAAATGGTACATAGTTAAAGTTAAAATGTTAAAATTGAAAAAAAAATCTAGAATAGTTATCTGGGTTTTTACATTAGCCAATCAGGCGAATGTTACATTTCTACGTAAAATTGTTGATTTATATTGTTGTTATACAAATATACAAATTTAGATATGTAGCATTACAAACAGAAAATACCATAACTACATTTTTGATATTTTTATTATAATTGCATCAAAAATGTAATTTTGGGCATCACAGAGCATAGAAGTATGAGTCCGTCGCTTCGCTCTGGCCAATAAAAAACATTTTCCATCCCTACCTGTATGGCGTTCATGCAAGGGAACAAAGTCCAAAATTATATGCTGCAACTGCCACTCATCATCTATCCAATGCAAAGTGATTACAAGAAAAGCTTGGTTTGTGCATACAGACTATGCATCGGTTGTGATTAATACCTTATATCCAAAACTTTTAAAAAAATTTCGCAGTTGTATACGTTCTCTTTCATACAAATGCCAAACGTGGACCGAAATCGTTTGCCTACAAAGAAGTCTGTAGCGGGGGTCGAGTTCAAAAACAAATATTCAAAGATTCTCATCTTCAACCACACAAAATGGTTGTTGATTACAAATGATTCATCGAACCAGAAGCCCATTTAACTTTTTTACTTTTTTTTCATCACAAGCACCGTAATATTCTACAGCCCGTGAAGGGTGACACCTGAAGCAATTGATAGTATTCAGATTTATGATTGCTTTCAAAGTGCCATTTGATTGTACTAATTCCAGATCCAGTACTATACTTTGTTTTAGAACACAAGCTGCAGAGAATAAATTTTTTATCCGGAGTTGGTTTAAAGTAATTTCAGATGGGATGTGCGTTTTTATCATGCTTGAAAAATTGTTCTTCAGTGTTGGTTTCATTATTGGAATTAGTACTCAATTCAATTACAAAATTCTCGTCGGGACGAGAAAATGCATTAGAGGTAGGTACAGAATTTTGTAAATTATTATTAAAAGACATGATGCGACTAATAAAATCTTGCAAGAACTCAACTTTTTGTTTAAAGCAACACTTTTATACTCGCGAAAATTAAAAAAAAAACTTTATAAAACACAAAGATAAAATATTTGGATTTAATACAGTTTTATTAGGATATTTACAACAAAAGAAATTAGCAACAAAAAACACGATAGAGAAAAACAATTGTTATGAGAAAAATTTAGACTAATATTATTATAGCCTGATGTAATTATAACGTGATCATTTACTAGTTACAACAAAAGAGCAAAATTTAGACCAATATTATTATAGCCCGATGTAATTATAATGCGATCATTCAAACAATTACTAATAAATAGATTACTCCAATTTTATGATAGTAGTGATAATCAACATTGTGTTTTGTCAGTATCACTTTATGATAATAAATGATGTTTTTATTTGTTCTTTTAATTTCCATACTGCATGAATTATAAGATGAATAATTGTTGTTAATCTAAAAATTTTTAAATATAACCTAATATAATTAGCCGATTATTGATTGAAATTGATCAAATGATAAAAAACTATCGGTACTTACCAATGCTGTAATATTACCAAGCAATTATTGATCAAAAAGTGAAAGAAAACTGTAATAAAAGCCTTTGGTACTTACTAATTCTGTTATAATTATCAGGCTATTATTTATTAAAAGCGAAGACAGTAATTAACTAATTTAATTCTCTAATAAAAGTTACCCAATCGGCGAATTTTAAATTGGAACATTTAAAGTATCACCACTTAAAGAATACCGATCTTGATTTTTTATTAATTGAATTTTATTTAATGTATTAAAAATGACACTCTATTTATATCATGTGAAGTATCATGTGATGTATGGACTGGTTTTGGACTAGTTCTGAGCTAGGTTCTAAAAAGTCTGGTCCAGACCCGGTTTGAACCTATTCCCTGTAGACCATTTAATATCCCTATAAAAATTGTTTTGATCTATATATATTACTGGTGTTAAACACTACTAGTTTGATTTATAATAACTGTAATTAAAATATACAGTGCTGATAAAAGTTTTTTTGCATCTCTAACTTGGCACAGAGGTGAGATAAATAAAAATTTTTTTTTATTTAAAAGCACCCTGACTTTCTGTATCAAGTTATATCGATCATATGTGGTATAACCATTTGCATGTTATAAATACGTAATACATATAAATATTAAATAAACTTTCGAAATATTGAACATACATATGTACATATATACGTACATATATACAAAACTAATAATCTAAAAATTTTAATAACAATTTATCTACAATTATATAATTTATAGCAACCTTCACTCTCACAAAA